TTTCAACAACCAGCGCTCTGGGCGGAAAACTTCACAATCCGAACCCCATAATTCTGTTGATCTCCCCATTGCAAGAACATGTAGAAAAATGGTCATTCCCTTTTTCAACTTTGTTCCGTCCGGCCAAACATCGTCTTCGGTCACTTGCTTCAATTCAAGAGGAACTGGTGGGTATAGTCTCATGCTTTCACAAATCGAAGCATGTGTATACACCATTTCATTCAAATCATCATCATCTTTCTCTTCGATTTCTTTGACAATCTCCTTTTCTACTTGTGGGTGACTCGAGACTAGCCAAAAGAACCATATTAGAGCTGAAAACAGCGTGTCATCACCAGCCAGGATGAAATTAATACCTGTATCTATGACAAACTTCTCATCAACTACTACATTGTATTTGAGAGCCCTTGTTATAAATCTGTCAAAAAAATCGCCTCCCTCATCTATGGAAGAGTTTTGCATCGAAAACTTCTCCACCTTTCCCGCGATTCTCTTCTTTACATATTCTCTGAGTACATCTACTGCATACCTGTGAAGTCCGATTCAGAACATAAATGTGTAATAGAAAAATAATTACTTGAATTTCAATAAATATTGAGTAGTAAAATTTTGAACTCATAATTTAAAGTGCGTCCAATGAATATTCAAGGAAACCTAAAGGTTGAACATATCAAATTCAAATTTTGAATATGCCTCTAGTCTGCATACCTGAGATTCTCTTCAGATCCAATGTTGAGAAGCTTTTTAGCTTTCCACAAGATGGAAGGGCAAGTGAACCTTCTCATACTGATCTTTATTGCAGTTTCAAAAGCATCTATTAATGGTTTCTCAGGGAGAGATGGTAACAAGTATTCTGGATCATGGCTAAAACCTACCTGGCATAGAATGTCAAATGTAAGCCTATGAAATATGTCCTGGAGGTCTAGAGTAGCTTTATCTATATCTGCCCTAGAGAATAAAGGAATAAGACGGCCAGAGAGCTCTTTAATGGTGGATGATTTTACTCGATAACGAAATGTATCCGCGTGGAATATATGACTGAGGAAATGCCTTTGGGTTTTCCATTTCTCTCCATCTACAAGTAAAAGTCCATCCCCTAATAAGTCTGAGAAAACAAATTGCATGGTAGGATCTTTGCGATAAATGTGGAAACGTGTCTTAACGATATGCTTGATAATAGAGGGGTTTCTTGTCAAGACGCATTTTTTACCAAATGGTCCTTTAAGGGTAATGGTTGATAAAGATGATTTTTGGAAGAGTTCTGATGTCCACAGAACTGCTCGGTGTCTATTTTGCACTAATGAGAACAAGCAACCAAACAGTGGGTAGGATTTTGGAAGCTGCTTTGGCTGCTTGCTCAATTTTGAACAACTGTGTTTTGAGAAGAACGGGTGGAAATAGATGAAGAACAGAAGCAACAGAAATATTATTGCTGGGACTGGGAGAGAAAAGAGCAGACTATACATGAGCTGGATGTCCATCCTCATGTTGTACTTGCAACTTTTTCAGATGGAAGTTTAATTTTTGTAGGTCTCGTCGACTAACTCGTCATCTGTTAGTTTAATCAATCTATATATTTGACATGGTACTACCCTTTTTTTTTTGTGGCTAAACAGATCATATTAAATCGTGACTATATACTTAGGTTTGGAGGCGGGATGGTGGGATATCTTCTTTTAGTTATTTTAGATATTACACCATTAATTGTTACGCTCCTGATAGGCTTCTACAATGGCAAGTTCTAAAAAAGGCCTATGTTTAATGATACCTTGGCAAATACCAATTTTAAAATAAAATAAAGTGAAGGAATATATATATAAGTTAGAGCACAAACTCACATAGTATATGCGTTTTTCCGCCTCGTTATGTTGCGCCCTAGTGTCACGACCCAAAATTCACTAGTCGTGATGGTACCTAACCCAAACTCTTAGGTCGGTCAAGTAACAGTTAACACAAGTCGAATAAAATAAAGGCGATCAACAAATGATATATCTGGTTTCCATACAATATCCCAAAGACTGATAATACAAATCATGAGCTACTAAGACTGGATTTTGCAAAAACTTATACTCCCTCCATTTCAATTTACGTGAACCTATTTCCTTTTTAGTCTGTGCCAAAAAGAATGACCAATTTCCTTATTTGGAAACAATTTACCTTTATACAATGATTTATAGCCACACAAAATATATGTGCCTCATTTTACACAAGAAGTTCAAAAGTCTTCTCTCTTTTTTTAAAATTCATGCCTAGTCAAATGAGTTTACATAAATTGAAACAGAGAGAGTGTGAAATAAATACAACTTTTGTTTGAAATGTATATAAACAGAATTCAATTCTAAAACTACCTAGTAAAAAATGGTTGCTTCATCCGGGAGGCACAAACATCTTCAGAGCCAGCTTCCGTCATCAGTCGTATCTCAGCTCCAAGTTCTGCACGGAAGGTGTAGAAGTTTAGTATGAGTACAACTGATCCCATGTACTCAATAAGCATCTTGACTAACCTTGGTGAAGTAGTGACGCTTTTAAGTTAAATGATACTCACTGATATAACATGTGCAATAGACTAGCAATAGAACAATACTAAAATATAATAGAGAAGAGTACAAGATCAAATATGCGAGGCAGTAAAAGAATCACTAGAGGAAATCAGGATTGTAAATTCATAACTTTCATAGTGTGAGAAATGTACTCAAGATATCAAATCGAATGGCACGGCAACACCCTTAGTGTATTTATCTCATCCTCACCAAATATATGAACGTAAGTCAAGTTAATTGGCACGGCAACACTCTTCGTGCATTTATCTCTTCCTCATCAAGCATACGTATAACAGATACCATCCAGGTGAAAGAAATACCAATAACAATAACGATAAAGTGGGAGATACATAGGTAGCAATAAAAAACAACGCGTGCATATGGGTAACAATAACAGACTAGATAAGAGGCATAGAAGTAATGATAGTATTCAAGGTAAAAAAACATAAATTTTATTAGCTAACATGATAGAAGACTTAGATATAGATATAACAAATATGAAGGAAAGTATGATCTTTATAAGCTAAACAAATGGAAGGCATGAATAACTAACGAATTAGAAGGCTTATACGAAAGTGCAACAAATGAGAAATGGCCTAGATATAGATATGACAAACAAGAAGGAAGGCATGATATTTACAAGTTAAATAGATAAAAGTCACGGATAACACAACAACAATTGAATAGAGGACTAAGACAGAACAACAACAAATAGTCACATAGAAAACATAAGTGCAATAGTAACAGCTCAAGATAACGACATGAATGTATACAAAAGAAAAAGGTATCAGTACATAATGCATGTCTCTCGTCCTCGCCTGCACGGAAATTAAACACCTTTCGTGCCATGAACACATGATAATATAAAAATATGGCACGACATCACCCTTCATGTATTTACTCTCATTAATATATGATAATGTAAATGAAATGACACGGCATCACCCTTCGTAATTTTACTCTCACCCTCACATGATAACGTAAACGAAATGGCACATGATAATGTAAATGAAATTGCACGGCATCACCCTTCGTAATTTTACTCTCACCCTCACATGATAACGTAAACGAAATGGCACATGATAATGTAAATGAAATTGCACGGCATCACCCTTCGCGCTTTTACTCTCATCCTCACATGATAATGTAAATGAAATGGCATGACATCACCCTCCGTACTTTACACTCTTCCTCACCAAGCACATGTATATCAATAACAAACAAGGTAGAAAGCATGAATAACGTCAAGAACAATGATTAATCGAATATTCCAAGTGAATATCAATCCCAACTTTAAAGCCAATAACAATTCAACAAACCTCAAGAACCTTATTATTCAAGTATTTCAACAAGTCTCAAAATTGACCTTCAACTCAAGTATAAAATCCAACATCTCAAGAATAATAGTCGTAGCGATGTATTTGTGATTAAGTATAATGACGACCAGATTTAGCACCTCAATAATTTCACAAAAGTCCGTCAAATTTTAACAAATTATAATAAGTTTAATCATAGTTTCTAGCATTTAAATTCATATTCTTAGTAATCTAGAAGTCAAGTAAGACATGAAACAAGAAGGTCATGTATTTCTACGAGGCACAAATAATCGTATAATTTACCCCGGAGCATAATTAACCCTGGCACATGCATATATGCTCATTACCTCATATATGCATCACCCCAGCATGTAGCAACAATATCAGTTAATAGAAAAAAAAATTCTAACAAAGTAAGGAAAGACACTTACCCCAACCAAGTCAAATCGATACACTAGAAGCACAATCTCGCTCAAATCATCCTCCAAACAGCTCGAAACTAGACAAAAGCAACTAAAAATCTGTAAGGTCCCGTAAATGTTAACCTAAAACCCGGAGTTTCATGGTACCGAGGTAGACTTATGCGTTGATGATTGTAGAGATTCATCGCGGTGAGCTTGCTCGCTGTGGTACGAACTTTTTGGGTTGAACAGTGAGTTGGGGAGTTGAAGAAAAGTTTCGGTAGCGCATGGCATTTCTGCGGTCCGTTTTGCGATCATAGAACTTCTATGTGGACCGCAGATCTACCGCGCAATGAAGTATAAACTTGAGAGCTAATTTTAGGACCATTATGCGGTCCATTATGCAGCCGGAGGAAAGTTCTGCGGCGCATTATGCGACCGCAGAATTGGTCTGTGAACCGCAAACCAATCGCAGAGTGAAGCAAAAATGCCTAGTTCTGGAGGGCTATTATGCGGGCCACAGAAACGTTATGCGGTCGCATATGCGACTGCAGATCTGCATCTGGGCTTTATTTTTCTAATTTTTTTAATCCCGACCCTATTTCGATATATAGACGTTGAAGACCATTTGTAAGGTAAAAACCTGATATTTGTAGAGAGAGAGGAAGTGCTATAGAGTGAGAGGGAAAGTTCCTAAGATTCTATCCATCAATTCTTGCTCAAAGTTGGAGAATTCACAAGGAGAAACTCAAAAGTTCTTCATCCAAGAAGTAAGGTTCCATGTCCTAGTCTCTATTTCGAATTTGGGGTAGAAGATGGTTAATGAGAGATATGATTCTTGGGTGTGAGAGTGTATCTATGCATGCATGTACAATCATGAGTTGTGGGAAGGTAGTTGAGCTCAAATGGTTTGACTTTGGATTGTGGGGGTGAAAGAAATCCACCATATGAGAAGCTAAAGATCATAATGCCCACCTAGTATTCGATAAAATGCTCAAATGAGCTGGAAACATGAACTTTTTCCTAATTTGTGTTCAATTTTGCTATATCTATAAATAGATCAAAGTTTCTAGGATTTCCGGAACTGTATAGTGAATTAAGTAAAGCTCAAAGCGAGGTATGTTGGCTAAACTCCTCTTTTAGAATTGAACCCCACAATGGCCTTGTAAGTCCCTGTTGCTCATTATAAATTAATTATTCCGAATAAGCCTTGTGTCAACAGATATATGCATTCAATAGGTATTCCAAATGCTCTTGTGATGTTGAGTTACTATTTGAGAATGTGATTTAAGCATGGGTTATGTGTTAATATGTTATGACTTAAAAACGTGATTCTAATGAAAGTTATCATGTCGAATTGTGTAAGAAATCACATGTGCCTAAGACTCTTATTGCTCAAATGTGTACTTAAAGTTATGAGTGTAAATGTTTGTTGTTGATGATCCGTGATGATGTTTTAAAGTGAAATAGTAAGCATGAAATATGAATTACGGCCAACATGCCAAGAAGACATTAAAAAGTGTGGCTGCTAGTGCCAATGAAATGGAAAATATGTATAAAAGATTATGAAATTTTATGAAATCCATTAATAATAAATGATTTGGGAGTATCGTTCAGTCACCTAGGTAGGTTATGTCAAAATAACCTAACCCCGAAAGTACANTAGGATATCTTCTTTTAGTTATTTTAGATATTACACCATTGTCACTCTTAGAGGGATGGCAAAAAAGAAGGCTTTACGCTGACAAATTCTAAACAAGGCGTACATGTGACACCTGTAAAACATTAACTAAAAGTAAAGTGATATATATAAGCTAGAGTATAAGATCACACGTGTGCTTTTCGGCTTGATGATTAAGTTGCCCCAAAGGAACAAATCCGAAAGATGTTGAGCCAAAACAAATTAACATCTACATGCCAGGGGCTTGGACTTATATCAACCGTTTTCTTGGACCGGTAATGGAGCTATTTTAATCATTTGCTTTTTTGTTTTTTGTTTTTTTGTAATATATTCATTTTGATAAATTTAGTAAAAATGCACGTATAAGTTAATTTATAAGGTTGTAACTGTTGCACGTGGACAATCTTTTTTCTATTTGTGATTGATTCATTTTGATATAAGTTAATTTGTAAGTTTAGTAACTAATATAATTTTTGGTATATGGATCAATGTAATCCGGTCCAAAGTCAAACAAGTAGCTTGATAGGAGAAGAGAATGTCAAAGAATTACTACCAGAGAAATGCCGATTTCTAAAGGTCAATATCTATTGCAAATTTCTTTTCGGATACTGCGTGAATACGGAATACTTTGTGCATCCGTTCGCCCTTTTAAATTTATTGTAAATTAGATCGAATTCGTCAGAAAATTAAAATTAGTGACGAACAACAACTAGTGGGGTATGGAAGCGTTGAGAAATTTCTCTTTGATTATTACAATACGTTGTGCCATTGTCATCGCGCACTTGTTTTACAGCTTCAGTCCCAATTTCTTAATTACAAGCTAAGTTGGAGTATTTCTTTTTGTCATCCATCTTAAACGTGGCAACATGTGTGGATACGCTAATTCCTTGATTAAATTGAGAGAAAAGGCAAGCACTATTTTAAATTGGTAATGTGACAAATCCCTATTTTGAAGGAAGATATTGGTCTATAGCTGGATGCACATGACTTTCATTTTGTACAGAAATGTTCAAATGTGTAGAGGTCAAAGAAGGAATTGGGATAACCAGTTAACGCAAAATATCATTAGTTTACTTAAATGGATCTCTCGAACGCTTACTAATCAATAAAACACGTGCAAATTATTCCACACCGTGTGGTCTAGGGAATTGATGACACTCGGTGGGATTTGCAAATCATTAGAATGTAGATGCTCCCTTCATTTCAGTTTATAATAACAACAAGATACACAGTCTTATCCCACACCGTGTGGTCTAGGGAAGGTAGTGTGTACGCAGACCTTATCCCTCTCTTCATTTCAGTTTATTTGACATTATTTTCTTAATTACTAGTTCCTTCGAAAAGGAGTAATACATTTTTAATTTGGATACTCTAACTTTAATTTACGATTTTATTCTTAATGAGAATTTTTTATAAGCACACTATTAGAGTATCTGTGTCCGAACCAAACTCTATCAAGAATATATTTTTTTAATTAATCCAATGACCTAGGCTTTCACCTTATGTGGTGATGAGGGATCTGGCATTAATCCCTACCTTGT